GATATTTGATATTCTCTTGATTTTCTATTTTCTGCTTTAATTATCTCTCGCCTAATTGTCTCGCGAGAATTACCTTGCTAAATTAATTGTCTTTTGGGCGGCCTTCCGCCGAACCCTATTTTCATGTCGCATTTCTGTTTTCGCGCTTCATTTTGTTAATCTAATTATTTTCTATTTCTTTTNACCTTGGCGCGTGCGCGCTCTGAGCTAGTCGGCCGCGCCGCGACGATCGTCGAGGCGGAGATCGTTCGAGCCTAGTCCTTTGAGTCAATTTTGAATTTGTCGAGATTTGTTCGAGAGTACTGGAATTTTAAGTTGTTGAAATTTTCGAGAGTTGAGAGTTTGCCGTCGAGTATTTTTGGCCTCCGGGGAGGCCTGGCGCCCAACTTTGTGTCTCGTTCCCGAAACCGGGAAAAATAATTTTGAGTGGCTCGAACGGATCCGCCTAGACGATCGGGCGAAGGTGACGAGCAATCGTCCGGGCGCTGCGGGCCCGGAATTCCCCCCCGAACAAAGTGTCCGTTGTCGACACCGTTCCTCGTATTGTTCCTATCCGTCACAGTGTATATTAAACAGAGGAAAATTTACCTGCGACGAACGTAAAATATACACACATTTTATGTACTTAAATATACATTATTTTACTCATATGACGACACGAACTTGACCTGTACCGTCATGTCGCCTCTCCGACCCGGGAGTTCAGACAATAGGACTAGATCCATGACCAGATTACCTGATGAGCTATATTTTAACCAGTAGTAATTAACCGCCCTTTGCATTTTATGTTAACCAGTAGAGATTCCGCAACAATTAGAATTAAGTGCGATATCGTATGTATCCGGTCTACTTCCAACGTTTCGCTTTCAGACCTCAATCGACTGATACTGAAGGGCAACGGAGGAGCAGTTGAAGAATATATATCGTTATTGTTAGTAAATCTTGCACACTTTACTCGATCCAGACATTACTCCTTGGGGATACTCAAACGCTCCGAGCGGGCCACTGTAGCGGGAAGAGATCCGACCGTGAACCGCGGTGCACAAGGACGCCACGTAACCCGCGCGCCCTGAGTTCAATTGTTACAGAGTAGCGCAAGGCCCTATGATGTTGATTATTAAAGTTATAGTAGCACAAGGTGCTATGCTGCAGATTTTTGTAGTTATAGTAGTTATAAGTGCAAGGCTGCAAATTCAAAGTCCAGCAGTACGAACTTATGGCAGTTTTTCTTAAAACATAATTATGCATTTTTTCCACATCTTGGCCAACGTTTATTACTAATGATTTGAGCGGCATCCGCGAGAATCCAACCAGAATCTCGGTCTCTTAACATAATAGTATAATGACATTTATTTAGTTGCTATACGTGATGACGTATATCACGTAACAAAGTAGTTTTCCGGAGAAAATCCTAGAAAACCGGTAAATTACGTTTTCAATATGACGGACGCCGCAGATGGACGATATACGGTTTCTGCAAGGTTATAAACGTCTTTTAGTACATCTGTAAACATGGAAATATTTTAAGGAATAATGAGTTATTTTGGCATTCAAAATTGTTTTGAACTTTCGATTTCAATATGGCGGATTCTACAGACGCATGCTATATGTTGTTACGTGGTAAATTTTCGCCGCGTCATGACTTCCAAATTTTAGCCGATGGTTGCCTTTTTGGCGTTTTATAGAATCCAAGGTCCGACGGTCACCGACCCTGGGGAGAGGGAAATCTGACTTATAGTTGCTCAATTTTGGTTGCGTCTTTTATTCAAGATTAATTTAGCAATCAACGGAAAATCTCCAAATTTACTGAAAGAGATCCATCCATTTTCTGAGTTCCCGGGCGCGCTCTCGAGCTCTCGCAGGAATACTACGATAATATTTGGCGGAGTGTTCGGAAGCTCGCAACTTTCTGTAACGAGTAGCGAGACTCCGGTCGTCAAGCCGGCGTATAAACATTGTCGACCTCACGCAGGTCACGTTCACACGCTACCGCTCATCCCGGCTTCAATAGAGAAGCCGTCGAGGAGGCCGCGGGGACAAGGAACCAGGATAGGAAACACCATCCGTGGTGCCACGGCCAGCCCATCTGGATCACCTGGAGGATCGTGTCGGCCCCGCTACACACCCTGGTGGCCTTGCCTGCGGGGGGCGGGCCGTAGACAGGCCCTGGCAGCTCGGGTACGGCCACCCACAGGAGCGCCAGGACTACCCAGCCAGGAGCCGGCCCGGGAGGCCGGAGCTCCTGAGAGCCTCCCGGGAGGACTCTGGCTGCCACCGACAGGGAGAGGACGGGATGCCGTGCCCCGGGAAAGAGCATCGACTTCCGGGCCAAGAGCCCGACCACATCCTCACCGTAGTACCCGGGGTCTATCCGATTATCTGCCCCGGGTGAGTCAGGATCCCCCGGAGGGGAAAATTTCGGCTGCCACGAACATCCAAGCGCCGGGGCCTGACGGGCGCTCGCTACGACCGTGGCATCGCCGGTGGCTCGACGCGCGCGGGGCTCGCGCCGTTGCCCAGCAACCACGCCGCCGCAACCGCGCCACCGCAATCCTCGGCCCCAGGAACTGGGCCAGGGCACGCCGAGTCCGCCAAAATCAAGAAATTAAGGAGCGTCTCGACCAACTAACTGCGCGGATTAGGATTCGGACTGGCCAGCCAAATCCCTACTTAGGACAGCGCACGGAGATCTCTGGTCTTCTCTCCCTTCGACCGTCGGTCCACTCGGATCACCGCCTCAAGCAGTTTCTTTAATTGTGATTGTTTGAATTATTTTTCGTCGCTGAGGACTGCAGGAACTTCCCGACTCCGCAAGGGAACTCAGCCGAGAGACTGGCGAGCTGCGGCGAATTTTTTACTTAACCGTAAGTGCCACCTGCCCGATCAAGGACTCTCATCGATGAGATTGTAACTAGAGTCTCCAAGTAGCTTCGCGAAGCCGTTTGGCTCGGAGAGTGTCGCGCCGGTGAACGGAAGCGTACCGCGGAGTTGGTCTTCCAGAAGTCTCACGCGGGCGATCCTACGGTTTTCCCTGGTAGGGCTTACAGCGGAGAGAAATCGAGCTTTAGTTTAGCCTCCCGAGAGGCCGCGGGATTCCTCGAGCGGACACATGGGCGGCTTTTCTTTTTGCGGCGTATCCCATAATTTTCTGTCGCGCTGTTTGAGTAGGAGCGTAATTCGAGGTTTTATATTATCTGGCCGCGAAACTTGACCTTTCTTTGTCTCGCAGAGACTTACGAATGGTTTTGGTCTCAGTCGACACCGCTTTTCGGGTGTAAAAAATTAATCTTTTTTCGAGTAGGTTTGTTGGCCTTCGGCGAGAGAATTTGACTTTTAAGATATCTTCGACTAATCGTCTCTCTCGAAGGTTTCTGAAGGGTTTTGGCATTCGGTGAGAGGATTTTACTAGTATAATAATTTAAAGTCTTTTTGTTGCGGCCTGAATTCGAGTCGTAGGATTGTCTTTATTATCTTTCCCTCGGGGTCGGAGGCGGAGAAACCGCGCAGCGACCGCGTGGTCGCCCGGCGAGTACTTTTTGTGATTACCGTTGTAGGATTTAGAATTCGAAAATCATCGAGATTATGTCGTGTAATTAATTCAGAGTAGTATTTACTCGCGAAACTTTAAGTCCGTCTGTCCATGCAAGTGAGCGCCTATTATTATTGTTGTGACTTAAATTTCAACCTTAGCGACCCCTTATTTTTTATTAAAGCCGAATCTGTTTGGTTGAGTTTTCCAACTCACTCTTTTCTCGTTCTATTGTCTCGCCCCTTGTGTTTCCCGGCCGTGAATCCCTTTTTGTTTGCCAGATCGAGTGATATTGCGAACCGCCGTACTTTTGAATTGTTTCGAGTCTGACTTGATTTTCTTTTGGACGGCCTTCCGTCGAACCCAGTTTCTTCTGTAATTATCTATTGTCCGCGGTCTAAATTGTTCGATACCTGATCTTCCTAATTCCTTTATTGTTCTAATAAATCTGTGAGTTTTCTTGATTTCCGTTTTGATTTACTGGGCTGAATTATTCCAATTTTTCCCGAATTGAGTCTTTCCTACCATTCTTTGAGTTTTTCTCAATCCCGTAGTCTGGTTTTACCCCGCCCTTTCCAAACCTGGCGCGTGCGCTCTGTGCTAGCCGGCCGCGCCGCGACGACCGTCAAGGCGGAGAGATCGTTCGAGCCTAGAATTTTGAGTTTTGTGTGAGAGTGTTGTATTTTTGAGATTGTCGAAAGTTGAGAGTTTGTTTCTTTGGCCTCCGTGGAGGCCTGGCGCCCAAAGTCGTGTTTCGTTCCTGAGGGAAAACTTTTGAGTGGCTCGAACGACTCCGCCTAGATGATTGGGTGGAGGTAACGAGCGACCGTCTGGGCGTTGCGGGCTCGAAACCTATCCGTATCCTATCGTTCATGTCATTCGTTGCAAATAGCGCCCAACGTGGGGCCAACCAAGGTTAGTTAGACGTATGAGTATGCAGAAGTCGCTGAAATTATTTAAGGACTAATTTTGTTTTTCTCGGTGTCTTAACGCCTTCCTCTTGTAGACCCACGTCGGTCACCTTTGGTTCGTCACAAAGTATTCTTGAGGTTAACGTCTTGTAGCGCACATATAAACACATAAAAATTGTTAAGAAAAAATTAATTTGGCGTATGTGTTCAAATTCGTTCGACTTAACCCTGTGTAATATCAAATTTCTAATTGGATTTATTTTCTACTTGAAAAGAGAAGGGCGAAATGTACTTTGCGCTTGCGTAGAAAACTAGGGACGTATTTTACGTTGTAATATACACGTAGAAAACCACGTGTATTACATGAAGTATTATACTTACCCAACCCTGATCAGATACAACGAAAATGAATGAACTTGATTATCACAATTTTTTGGAACTTCCAGGACAGCTTTGGAATTATCTAAATAATTGTTGAATAGTGTATTGAATTGAAGCAATTGTTAAATAGTGTATTTCTCGACAGTGACAGGTTTTTGCAAATTGATATAAAGGATTTAAGACACAGTTTAGTTAATCCAGGTCATGTCCATATCGATTAGTGTACAAATGCGATTTAATATATATGTGCCAATTACATTTGCAGGGATCATATCATTTAATTGTTTAATCTTGGTTTAGTGTTATCAGCTGTTTGTTGAAGCAAATTGTACGATGAATAAGTTACTTTAAGGATCTGAAATAAAAAATTTGTTTCAGTATATCGAACTCCAATAAATTAATTTAATAACCGATATAAGTTAATTTAATACTTACAGCAATAAAGGCTTCGATAGAAACTGTAAACAATGATCCACTGACAAACTTGATAGGGATCATACACCGTTTTTTGAGCATCAATATGTCTTTCCTTGCAGCATTGTCGAGAAGCATCCAATCCATTTTATAAGCTGCATCTCCAACATTAATACTCTGAGAGGAAAAAAATAAACAAGAAAAAGTAAAATTCATAATATTTAAATTTCATTTTCTGATGTTCAAGGTTACCTGAATCGTCATCTCGTTTCCAAACCAACAATAGAGTAAAATTTGAACCATCATGCAAAACAGGTATATGGCAGTTGACGAGAATTCCGATCTACTAATTTCTTCCTTTGTGAGTTGGTAGACGCTCATACCAATAACCATTGAACTTGCACAAAATTGAACAAACACAACTGGACTGAAGATCGCCTGTATTGTGTCAGCAAATCTAGTTTAATGGGATATATATATTTTTTTTTCATACTAAAAATAGTTATATATATTGTGACGAATACTCAAAGAACGAAGAACGAGGTGTCGATAAAGGACACGAAGTTGGGGGGATTCCAGGCCCGCAGCGCCCGGACGATCGCTCGTCACCTTCGCCCGATCGTCTAGGCGGATCCGTTAGAGCCACTCAAAAATATTTCCCGGTTTCGGGAATGAGACACGAAGTTGGACGCCAGGCCTCCCGGAGGCCAAAAAAACAAACAACTCTCGACAATCTCAAAATTACAGAACTCTCGAACAAGTCTCGACGATCTCAAAATGAACCCAAAGGACTAGTCTCGAACGATCTCCGCCTCGACGATCGTCGCGGCGCGGCCGACTAGTTCAGAGCGCGCACGCGCCAAGGTTCGGAGAGGGCGGGGGTAAGACCAAAATGCGGGGAAAAGGGGAAAAACTCAACAAGTTGGGAAACAATTCAAATCGGGGAAATTCAGAAAAATTCAGCTCGAAGAATAAAAACAGAAATTAAGAACATTAACAGATTTATTCGGATTAGCAAAGTAAATCACCGAATAATTTTGTATCGCGCACAATCAGACAATTATGAAAGACGGCGGGGTTCGACGGAAGGTCGTCCCGAAGAAAATCGAAATGACCAATTTGGTTTGAATTTAAAAGAAACGGAACGCTAAGACTGAATATTAATTCCTGAGAACATTATTATGCGCTCGCTTACATGGACAGATGGGCTCAATATTACACAATGTAATCTCGACAATTCTCGTCTTCTAGATTGCTCGACTCTAAATACAGAACTGACTCGACGGACGAGTCGCAAAGTTAATTACAAGATAAATTCAAAATCTCAATTCCAACCGGAAGAAAATCGGGCTTTCCGGGGAAACAAAATGGGTCGCGGACGCGGGCGACCACGCGATCGCCGCGCGGCTCCTCCACCTCCGACCCCGAGGGAAAGACAACAGACACTCCTAAACTCGACTTCTGGCCGTGACAAAAGATTCTAAATTTTCATAATAGCCAGATCCCCTCGCCGAAAACCAAAACCATTCACAGATTTTCGGGAGACGATCACGATAAAATATCTCAAAAAGGGCACTTTTCTCGCGGCGGGCCCAAACCATTCACAAACCGGCGTGAGAAAAAGGAATCTACTATACTCGAGAAGTAGTCTCGGCGGAGGTCAAAATCGTTCACAAACTTCCGCCAGACAAAGAAAGTTAAACTTCAAAGAAACTTAAACTTCACGGCCAGACAATAGAAAAAAGACTCGAACTATGCGCTTCTACTCAAAAGGACGCGACACAAAGGTTATCGGACATAAAGAAAATTACGGGACACAGAGAAAATTATGGGACACGATTCGAAGAAAAAGAAGTCGCCTTTGTGTCCGCTCGAGGAACCCCGCGGCCTCCCAAGAGGCTAACTCAAATTCCGATTTCCGATAGTCGCAGGCCCCACCAGGGGAACCGGAAGATCGCCCGTGTGAAACTAACGAAGACCGATTACGCGGTACGCTTCCGCTCACCGGCGCGACACTATCCGAGCCCTACGACTTCGTGAATTTAACCGGTGACTCTTACCTCTCTTAAAAAAGGGGGTCCTCGACCGAGCACGTGGCACTTACTTCACTCAAGAAAATTCGCTGCCGCTCGCCGCCCCCTCGAGTGAGTTTCCCGCGCTGAACCGGTAAGGCCTTCGGGTCTTCGGTGACGGGAGACAATTAGATAATTCGCGGTCTTCAGAAAACTAATGTAAGCGCAGGTCCGGTCGGTCTGACGGTCGCAGGCAGACAAGATCGGAGCTTTCCGTGCGCTGTCCTATATAGGGCTTCGGCTGGCCAGTCCGAATCCTAATCGGTGCCGTTGATTGGTTGAGATGCTACTTAGTTCCAGATTTTCGGCGGAGTCGGCGTGCGCCGGCTCGATTCCTAGGGCAGGGGGTGGGGCGGCGCGATCTCGGTGCGTGGTTGCTGGGCAACGGCGGTGCGCGCCCGGCGCACGTCGAGCCGCCGGTGATGTCACGGCTGCACCAAACGATGGCCCGTCGGGTCCCGGCGTGCCCTGGTCCTCGGGGCACCCGATGTTTCCCCCTCCGGGGGATCCTGGCTCATGCGGGGACGGATCCTTGGATAAGCCCCGGGTACTACAGCGAGAACGTGATCGAGCTCCTGGCCCGGAAGTCTTGAACTCGCTGTCTGGAGCGTGGCATCCACGCCTCGCCCCATCGGTCGCAGCCAGGGTCTTGGGAGCTCGTGTCTCCTGGTCCGGCTCCTGACCGGGTACTCTTGTAACCCTTGCGGGCGGCGGTGCCCGAACCACCACGGCCCGTCTACGGCCCGCCTCCGCAGGCAAGGCCACCAGAGTGTTCAACAGGGTCGACTTGCCCTCTAGATGGATCCGACGGACGGGCCGTGGCACCGCGGCCGGTGGGCTCGGTCCTATAGTTCTTAGCCGCCGAGGCTTCCTCGACGGCTTCTTTCTTCCCGGTCGGGGCGACGAGCGGCAGCGCGCGCGTGACCTCCAAAAGGTCGCCGGTGTTGATATTCCGGCCTGGCGACCGGAGCCTCGCTACGCATTACAGAAATTTGGCGAGCTCTCGCTCACCTCGCTAAATATTCATTTCGAACATTCCTGCGAGTGCTCGAGAGCACGCCCGGGAACTCAAAAATTAAATGGATGATTTCCTTACAAAAAAATTGGGAGAGTTCCCGCGAATCGCAAAACTATCCTGCAACAAAATGTCCAAATTAAATGAATTAATAATTAGGCTGGTTTTCCCTCTCCCCCGGGGCGGTAACCGTCGGACCTTGGACCCTGTAAAGAAAACACGGAAAAAAGCAAATGTCGGCCGAAATTTGGGGTCGCCGTGGCGGTGGCAAAAATGTACTACGTCACAATATATATATATATAACTATTTTTCGTTTGATTTTTATCAATTAAAATTTCTTTAACATTAAAGCCCGTATTTATACCTCATTTTTAGCGTTAGAAGACGTCTTTTATCTGTAGTTTGTATCGTTATATCTCATTTTTAGTTTCAAAAGACGTCTTTTATTTGTAATTTGTATCGTTATCTCTCATTTTTAGCGTCAAAAGACGTGTTTTATCTGTAGTTTGCACGGTTAAAAGACATTTTTTATCTGCAGTTTGCACGGCTAAAAGACATCTTTTACCTGTAGTTTGTATCGTTTGTGACATTGCATTTCGAGGGGAGAAATGCCGTCACAAAATGAGTTACAATATCGCCGAGAAGCGGTTTGAGAACCCCGGGCTCGGATGACGGAAGGCTGAGAGAGAGGAAACGATGAGAGCCAGTGGCTGTTATGGAATATATTCATTTCTTTATTTTGCCTCGCTATTTACTTTATTTTTCATTTTCTTACGCGAATTCGAGATAGCGTTTTGGGTATTAGGATGAGAACCCCCCTGGATGATTAAAGTTGGGATGAATTAATCCACCTCGAGTACCTTTTTCTTTTCCTCTCGCTGAAATAGGCAATTTTAAATATCTATTAATGTATCCCCAGTTCAATTAATTCAGTTCTTGCCGCTTATTAGATGCCTGAAAAGGAATTCATTGCCATTTTTAATAGTCTCTTCGGCGATAAGCCGCATTAGTAACTTATTAATGAAGAATTCAATTTCCTTTGCGTAGTATTACTTTCAGCATTTCGAAAGCGTCCCCGAATATCTTGCAAGGAAGGTACCTGAGGTGTCCCCCTCCGATTTTGTTCATTTTTAAATATGTTATAGAGGACTAACATCTAAGGGACCCGTGTTTTTTTTTTATCGGCGGATAAACACTTTTAGGGGGTGAAATCAGGCTTCAAAGTTGATCATGCAAGGGGGTGATTGGCTGTTTCATATGGAAGCACTCAACCGATTTTCATGAAACAACCGTCAAAATGTAGGGAATGAAGAATTATGAAACATGCATTTGGAACTTTTCGAAAAAATTCATTTTTAAGAGGTGAGCCAACAATTTGAATACTTCTTTTACCCCTTACGCGAGCAGTAATTGCTCTATCCAAATAAAACTTGGTTAATTTATAAACCAGAACAATACAAAAAAGCATATTTTGGTTTTTTTCGAAAAACGAATTTTAAGGGTTGTAACAACCCTTTAATAAAATGATGTATAATCTCGTTTTAAAACTAGCTTTGTACGACTTTCTTGGACTTAAAGGACTTTAACGATGAAAATTAATAAAAGAATACAATCAGGTACCATCCGATACATTCGAAGGGTAAATTACCCCTTGGGTTCAAAGGAATGTGATTCGTAGAATATAAGACAACAGAGTTAGCTGTCCTCGTAACTAGTTCGCAGACAAGTGGTAACGCCACGCGAGCGAGCAGTATGCAGTGCCCAGTTTTAAACCACTATATGTAAGTAATATTTCATTCTCTCTCATCTTTAAGAACTACAGTTGCCAAGTTTCATTAACCAAGTTTCATTTGGATAGAGCAATTACTGCTCGCGTAAGGGGTAAAGGAAGTATTCAAAGGGGTGGCTCACCCCTTAAAAATGCATTTTTTTGAAAAATTCCAAATGCATGTTTCATAATTCTTTATTCCCTACATTTTGACGGTTGTTTCATGAAAATCGGTCGAGTGCTTCTATATGAAACAGCCAACTCACCCCCTTGCACGGCCAACTTTGAAGACTGATTTCACCCCCTAAAAGTGTTTATCCACCGATAAAAAAAACACACGGGTCCCTTAGATTTTAGCCCTCTATAACATATTTAAAAATGAACAAAATCGGAGGGGAACACCTCAGGTACCTTCCTTGTTAGCGAATAAGAGCCCCGGGCCGGTTCGTAACGCGCCACGCTCGACCACCGCGGGACGACCTCAAACAAATACCCAGGGCCGGCGAGACATCGGCAGGAGAGACGACAGCGCGATACTCCAGGGGAATACCTGCAGGACATCTCCCGAGGACACCCAAGGGTAACACCTGCCCCCCTCCCCCCCCGGGCCTTAGGGCACATGCAGAGGTTGGACCCGTGGAGGCTGCCGGTCGCCTGATCAACGAGAGCGGTACTTCAGTTCGCCCTGACGGCGTGAGAAGGTCCGCCCGCGTAGACAACCGGCTTCCCGGTTAGGTGTCGGAACGGCGGGCAAGAGCCCACCTGCGACATCCCGGACATCGCCGACACCATTGGGGCAGGCGTTTTTGCGTACTCGAGGAGCCCGTCTGCGGTCTTGGATTGGCGCAGCGGCCGGACCAAAAAGGATCGCGAGGACGTTGGTCAAGTAGCGCCTCGGTGACCATCGAGGTCATCCAGGGCGACTGCTCAGCGGTGGGACACCTGAGGCCACGGCCCCGATCAAGCCCTAGGTCACCCTGAACAATCACCTCGGATCAGAACTCCAGGACCCAACACCATCGGCATGGAATCTACCGCACACGGCGCGAGTCGGCCGCGTGCCGGCCCCCGGCGTCGCTCCATCCCGGGAGCGCGCCGGCCGAGGACCTTTGTCTACGAGACCCGAACCCATTAATTGGGCCACGGAAAACCGAATGAGGCCAATGGGACACTGTGAAACCTTCCAGAATTCAGGTAGGGGGGACCCTATAAAAGCGGCCGCGGACCGCCGTCCGATCTTCTCCGCCCGATTAATTTTCGTAAAATTACACGTCCGCGGTTCACCAACGAGTTTCACCGCCTACCTCAGCCGCCGGCCACGCCGTCGGGACCTGCACCCTCGTTGAGGAACTCTCAGAAGCAGCCGAGGACCGCCATGCCGAGCCGAAGCCAGCAAGCCCATGGAGCAGACAAGGTCACTTCTTATATCCCGTCGAAGACCCCGTAGGGCCGACCACCGGGACTTCAAATGCAGGAGGAAGCGGGAGAGGTGTTGTGGGGCCCGGGGAAACCGGGAACTTTTCCAAAATTTGGCTGGGTTTCGTGCGACTGCGCGGCGAGGCGTAGATTTCATTTTCAGGATTGATTGGAAAATAAAGATTTTCCCTTAGTTAGCGTTTATTTCTGCCACCCGAATTGAGTAATCAGGGACCCGCGTATCCTAGTACCTCCCAGAAGTGAATTTCGATGGTAGTTAGCTTTTCGGAACAGTCCGTATTTCCCGAAAATCTCGAGTTCGCGGACCAACGAGCGAGGAAGCCGCGACACAGCCAGAGGACCGTCCGCGTCAATCGTTGCGTGCACACACTCTCTTCTCCCTCGAGGCCGAGCGGCCTGTGTCCGCACTACGTAACGCGGAGTGAGTGCCGCGATGCAAAATGTCTGTTTTCCTGAGATTCCGCTATTAATATCTTATATTTCCTCGACGGGCAAAAATCGTGACGAATTCCGACTTTCGATCGTGCTATCGATTCGAGATTCAATTTTCCCTCAATGTCGAATCTTAATTGTTGAAAAGTGCGAAGTCCCCATGTCAAATACTTTAAGTCGAATCATTGCCTCGCGTGTCTTAAAGTCTGATAGAGCCTACACTTTCCTTACGTAGCCCACATGCATCAATTATACGATCGATTTCCTTTGCGAAGGTGTGAAGGTCGATAGTTTCGCGTATTATATCAATATCGTCCCTCTCGCCAATATTTTCGAACGTAACTTCTTGCGTAACTGCTACTTTTCCGTCCATTTGGCGATCTACTTAGAACAAGTTCGGTTCGCGTAACTCGTATTATAAATTCCTCGATTCCTTGTCTCTCTGATATTTTAATATTAAAGCCGCTGAATCACGCATTTCATTATCAAAGTTCCTACGAAGAGTTCGCATGGTATTTCCTTTCATGAATTTGTTCTAAGTCCCTCACGCGGACTACCTCCTTTAAGATCGCTAGTTCCCAAAATTTAAAGTTCGCGATGCGTCCCGTTTAATCAAAGTTCCTTGCGCGCTCCGCGACAGTCTTCCTGATGCAGTATACCATTCCGAATGCGCTTTACTTCCCCCAATATTAAATAATTGCATCTCCAGCGAACTAATTGTACTTTCCAGGCAACAAAAATGTATAATAATTGTCTCGCGCACCCTCGGCGGCGCGATTGCTTCTGAATACTATTTAGTTTTAAGTGGCGAGCGTTCCTTATCCCTTGGATCCCTTGCTTTTACAATCCATGTTCCTCTTATTCCTTATCCTTATCCTTATTCTCCCTTTCCTTATCCTTATCCTTATTTTCCCTATTCCTTATAATATTACCTTTCAATTACCTATCTAATCCCTGGTCGGCGCGCCTGTGTCGCACGTTCCTAATTCCGAATTTATATCGGGTATTAGCCATTTGACCCTTTGGTAAATTGATTTTTGTTTACTTCTTTCTTACTCGATCTGTACCTCGGATAAATAAATCGCTATTGTTGTTAACCCTTTAATCGGAGTTTGTTTTAATTAAATAATCGAGGCTAACCCTTCCTTTCACTTACCGGACGGAAATCGGGTCCCTTTTGGACAAATTAATGTCGCTGGGTTAAATGCCTTTACCTCGCCCCTCTCCGCGGCCACTTCGGTGGCAAAATTATCTGGGCTAGCTGGCCCTTTGTCCTGGCCCGCGGAACCCTTTTTGGAGTAGAGGAAACCTTTCGGGAGATTTTTCTTCGCGGACAGGCCACGGAGAAGCCGGGGAAAACCCTTCGCCCTCGCCTTCCGGCTTCACTCTCGTGAGGAAAGTAAAGGCCCTCAGGAAGGGAAGGCCGAAGGGACTTTGATATTTGGTGTTCTGGGATGCCTGGTGTTGAATCATTCGACCATCACCGAAACATAGCGATCATTTGTCAATAATTAGGACCGCGATTTCATTAATTAAGTTCTCGGATTCATACACCGAATGAGCACTTTATACGTACTTAAACGTTTGATCGACGTATTCTTTCCGATCGACTCTTGCATTTAATTTGACATACGGTAGTCTTGCATTGTTAGGCTACCGTCATTAAGGCGACATCACCTAGAAGTACCGCGCGCTCGGCCCCGCACCCGTTTCGGATTAGCCGGGGACGACCGACACCTCTGTCGCGAGGGAAAGGGTCTTTATTCCTTTTCGCGACCCTTTGCGGACCGTACTTCACTTTTTCCTACGGGCACACTTTTTCCTCATAAACCTGCATTCTCTGCATTTACTTTCTATGCATGCCGACCCACACGTATACGTATTAAATATGTTACTAAAACATCAAAATTTGCGCCAATTAAATACGTTTAGTAAACGTATAATATATCTCTAGGAAGCAGAAAAGCAGAGCTTCTCGCATATGCACTTTTTCTAGCAAAAAACTAGGCATGATTACCAAAGGAAAACTGTATGTTGTTGTATGAAATTGCTGATGATGTGCACTGATTATTGTTGACAGATGTCAAACTCATACAAAACAAAAGTATGGCGTGTCAATAGTTACTTAATATGCTCACTGACTCAATTTATGAGAATACAGCGGATTTAAGCTTATGCACCTGGTACATGTCCTTTGTACTCTTTGTGTTTGAACCTGCTTCGATCGACTTTCATCAATCGAAAGTATGGTTCGTTTCTTTTTCTTTTTTCTTTATTTTCACATTCTAATATTCGTTTTTGGGAGATGCTGCTGTAGCACAGTCCCAGTATTGCGTATCAAGGGCCTAGTATCAAAAGGAATAGAATTGGGGATGCGCTGGCTGCCACAATGGCAGAGACCGCTGTATTTTTGGAATTTAATTAGAATTTTCCGCCTATCTGTAAGTTTTTATTCATCAATAATTCTTAGATTCCGGCTTACTCCTGTTTTGTCTCTACTTTCTCACGCTTGTAACTTTTGTCCGATTATGGACTCGAATTTATTTTAATGCTACCTACTTTTGGGTGACTGTTCCCATCGAGAATTTAATCTAATCTTCTTTTTGATTTTGATTTGATTGATTTGGGTCTCCCGGAGTCTCGCGGCCTCTCCCTACTTCTCGGCCTCTTCGCATCGCCTAATTATTTTCTTATCGTACGTGAGTCGATTGCCGTCGATTTCGGTATTGCGCACGCGGTTCCGAATCGCCCCGTTACAACATATTAAGGTAACTTTTAACATGTAACGGGTGAAAATGCGATACAACTACGAGACTAAGACGTAATATTGGAAAACTCGGTTGAGTTTCGTAACAAATGCATTCTGTGTACCAAAAGCGTCTGAACTTTATTTATGATAATTTAAAATGCTCATCATTTAATAACAATTAAATATTGAGGTAATTTTAAACATTACTCAGATATTTTGAACGCTTTTAAGTTTATTTATTGGCAACAGATTTATGGGTTGTTTCAAGCTTGATATTTTTGTATAACTAATTTAGCGTAAGGAAATGATTCGTACTTGAAAATATAAATATGATGATAAATGCACTTCGTTAAGGGTGTCGATCCAGAATTCTGACCTTCGAAAGAATCTGACAATCGCTGCAGTCGATGTTGCAAAATTTCCAGCTGGGCACAAGTTTGCAATAATAATCCAGCAACAAAGCTTTCCGTCGCAACTCCCATAAGTGCCGAACAAATTACGGCAACACCTTGATGAACATATGAAATAACAAATAGCGTCGAAGATTGTGGATCATATGGTAGCCATGCCTTGAATGGCAAAATTCGATTGTTGGAAATTTCGAACAATGGTCCCAACACCATAAGTGATGCGCCGGTTAAACAAAAGGAACCGTAAAATAGAACGACGAACCTTAAAAAACAAAAGAAATTAAAATCGGCATCTTTTGATTAATTCTCAATGTCAAGAAGAATACTGCAATTTAAAACAACTATAGTAAATTATATATAATTACATTAGTACACTTATGCACTGAATTTATACGATATAAATTCACTGTTAAAAATCTCCAGAAAATTCCTGGATTTCTAAGTAAATTTCATAAATGACATCAAAATTAAAATGTAGATGAATTAATAACCTTAGCGAAAAAATTGATAGTATACGTTTATGAGCCAATGAATTAAATGCTGTAAATAAAACACCTAATAAGAATGTTCCCAAATTACGACATTTTTATTAACAGTGTATTAAATTCTAACTCGTCATATTCAAAATTTATTAACCAAGAGCTTATGAATTTTATGAACATTTTCAACAGTGAACAATGTTTCACCACCAACCTTGCCGTATCGTCATAATTCTTTTGTATCCTTAATTCCTCTGAGTCTCGAGGTCTGCACTGTTCCACCAACAACATTTTCAACAATGAAATAATTTTCCCACGTCGACCCAAAATCACGGAAATTTTGCACAAAGCACTTAGTTTGTTGAGGAGCACATAAGTAATCTCTATTACTTCATCTACATCATTATGATTAAGGATAATCTCAATAACTTCAGATATCACAAAGGAATTGATAAGCACCGCCATTGTTGCCGTGTAAATGAAGTATAGAATCCTTTTCCAAGTATCATATTCAACGGGACACCAAAAACCGCACATTTTGAACAAGTTGAAGGCTTCTGGTAAAACATGCATCTCTATTTCGATATTTAATATTACTTTTTTGAATTAGGAGAGCTTATCAATCTAGGTCTCCTTTAAGATTACTTCCTTAGAGTGTTTAGCACGATTTCCCTCTTGAGTGGTTTTTCTTTCTGAACACCTTTTCCTTCTGTTGTCATTACAAATTCATTTCTCTTCTCTATAGGCTTTTATATTTCTATATTTAATATTTTTCTTGAATCAAGAATACTTCTTATCTGTCTGGGTTATTTTTTATACTGCTCTCTACGGATTTCTGTACAGCGTTTTAGCCATTGTTGAACTCTTCTTCCTGGCGACTTTTTCCCTCTATTGTCATTACGCATTTATTTCTCCGGGTCGTTTTTCTTACAATTAGCTAGGGTACATCTCATCATTTCTTACCACGAACATTGCATTTCCTTACTCTTACCTCGATATTTTAAATTATACATGTTAAACTGTTGGGGACGTGGAGCAATTGTCAGGAATATTTCATGATCTTCCGTAGAGCGCACCCCCCGACAATCCAGGTGCTGCGTCAAGACGAACTCACGTGAGTGCGAGTCGGTCTGCTGGACTAAATTCCCCTTTTTTGGCCACCAACTGAATCGTTCAGCCAGGGACTGGGGTGCACGCAGGAACGGGTTGAATAGGGACGGCACCGCAGGGGTCAAAGAAAATTCAGCCGTGTCTGAGAGAGAAGAATTATTTCGAATATTATTTACAGACCGATACGGCCATGGTCACATGTTTGAGAGAAATTATTAAGGTGACATAGACAAAGGCAAAGGAGTGAGAAATCTAACTGGATGAGGCGAGTGCAATTCTAAATACAATGGTTGTTAAACTCGAAACAATCAAGGAATACGCAAATTTCAATAAGAGAGAGGAACTAAAAATCTAATTAAGCGAGATAAATGCACCTCCACTATGGCGATTAACAAATTCGAGTTAACTGAAGTAGGCAAAGATTTCAATAAAGGACGATCAAGAAATTTGAATTAAGTAAGGTAGATACATCATTCCAACATCCGAGATTAAGGCTAAATACTTAGATCTAATAAAATGTTTAAGTCTACTTAAGGTATATACAATTTCACCGATGAACACGTAAGACTATGTGAATTATTTAAAATGAATGAAAATTCCAATAACGAAACAGCTGGCCAGAGATAACTAAAGATACGAGTCAATTAAGGGAAATATAATTTCGATATCGGTTTATCAAAGAGTTCAGTTCAATAGTGGTGGCAACGCATCTCAACAGATCGATTAAGGTATGGATCGATTGCAGTAATGAAAATATTATAAAAGATACTATAATACAATGAAAGAGTGACACAAATTTGGAGTGAACAACAAAAGATGTTGCTAATCGATTAAATGAAATACAATCTTTAATACTGGGTGACTATGGAAATCAGGTTAATTAATTCAGATATAAATTTTTATAGGCGAATTTTGCCCGCTAATCAGACCAACGCTCTGATTAGCGAACAAAATTTATTAATAACTTCAAATATAATGGTTAGATCCCAAAGTTGAAGAGGAACATTATGTTCCTTTTTCAACCTGCTACGACCCCACCAAGGGAAAAACGCGAGTATTGGGACATCTATATAGAGTGTATATATATATATAGTTACGATAATGACCACGTTACAACATTGCATTTATATATACAATCCATAATGACCACGTTACATCATTTACTGTGTCCCTAAACCGACCGTTTCATACTTTTCCTCTTATATCTTCGAAAATATTGACTGCAA